TACCATACCCATGGCTGTCCGAGTGCTTGGATATTTCAGATTTCCAATGCACTTACGAGCAGTGGAGCAGCAGTAGAAGCAGCAGCAGCGGCAGAAGAGGAGGAGTGGAATAGTTCTAGAGTTCTGTGTTTCTGTTGCCCAACACACACGATGATTTATTTGGCGCCCACATACACGCACACACAGTTATAGGAAGGGGGAGAAGAGTGGAAAAAAAGGGCTACTACCTGCTTGAAGACCAAATATGGGGGTGGGCTGAGGGTGTCCTAGGGTTCTCCTCTGGACAAGTGAAAATTATTTCAACACACACACGAGCATAGTTAGAAAAAGATACAGTCGCATACATATGTATGTACATATGTATGTGTGTGGAGAAGGTGGAGGTGCCTTGGTGGTGCTCCAGACATTATTCCTGCAGAGGACTCTCCCCGCGCCCCTCCTCATACCATTTGCCACTGCCACACTTTGTTACATGATACCATGAAAGCCTTAAAAAGAGAGAGAGAGAGGGAACCTCCGGAGCGGGTGGCAGGGACGAGTGCCACATAGAGGGACATAAAATAAACTTCAAAGACAAAGTTGCACTCCACAGCTTAAACCGTAGCAGCAGCAGCAGCAATTTAAGTGAACTAAGCTGCTGGCCATGCCACCCACACATGCCGCAGCAGAAGAGCAGCCGCCACACGCATAAACATATGTATGTACATATGTATCTACATATATCTACTGTATCTTTCGTATTTGGCGGAGGACGAAATAAAGTTGTAGACAAAATTTCGTGCGTAATTCACTCCTTTTGTCTCCTACCTCCCACCATGCCACCGCCCCGAAATCTAGGGATAAGTCTCCTTACAACAACTAAAAGAGGAAAAAAATATATAAATACCTGAAGGAAACAGCGGCAGGACCTATGTGCGTGTCAGAGAGAGACATGTTGCCGGTGTTGAGCAACAAAGAAAGCAACGTTGCCACATTTCCATCACAATAAGAAAAAAAGAGATTCGAACAAGCAAAAAGATTGTGTTGAAAACGACTTCAATGAGAGCATTGGCTATAAGCGAAATGACCATGAAAGACTGACCTAAACCAAGAAAAAGAAAAAATTTCCCTCCAACTATTAGGAATGCCACACAGACGCACAGCTTTGTTTCACCCCCAATAAAAACGCTTTTGTCAAATTGCAACCATAAATTATCCAAAACTTGAACTCTTGACAAATTTAAAAAAAATATAAAAACCGGAAAACTGGTTTCTAAATTTCCACCCCCAACCACTGAAACATATACATGTGTACATATGTACATACATGCATATGTATGGAAGGAAGTTTAAGGAAAAACGATGAAAAACTCATAAGCCAATTGCTGGCCCTTTGCCCTGCTCTCCCCCTCCTCCTCCAATCAATGGGAGAATAGAAATCCCATCGCACTACACGTAGTGCACGAACGTGTACGAATTGCAGAAAAAACAGGATAATTATTCAAACACTTTCAAAGTCAAACACACACCGCTCTCCCTCTCTCCCATCTCTGCCCTCGCTCACTTCTGTTCGCATATGAAAATGGCTTCCCTTTGCTGCAGAAGGATAACGTTGAAAATGTTCTGGAAAAACTTTGTCCGTTGCTGCAACTGAGCGAAAACTAGAGGGATGGAGATCAGGTTCGGGTTCAGGGTTCGGCTTTCGGGTTCGGGATGATGATGCAGTCCCTGGGTCCCAGGGTAGCGAAACGAACCGCAGTGGAGAGGAGAGGGGAGGAGAAAAAACATATGCGGGATACGGACCGACAAAACAGAATCCATATCCTGTAAGCGGGGCAGTGTCTGCGTGTGTGTTTTAGTGCCAGACAGAAAATACTCTAAAAACAGAGCGAAGATTGTTCAACCACCAAACACCACCATTATCAGAAATCGCAGAGGAAAAGAGGAACAGAAGAGAAGTTCAGAGCAAACCCCCGGTGGAATAACAGCATCAGCAGCTGTGCCTTCGTTCCACCAGAAATAGTGGATGGATGTATTGATCGAATGGAATGGGAATGTAAAGAACTATTCTCCTCTTGCACTGTTTTTGTTTCCAAAATATTTTTTTTTCGGTGGTTGGCAAAATTATTTTATGCGGGACTCAGGAGTCTGCCTGGCACTCTGCTGCGTTGCGTTTGAGATTAGGAAAAGATTTGCGCCCCGATCAAAATACAAAAAAAAACAGAGGCAGACAGACGGACCAAACACTCTTGTAAGTCGCCGCATAAAATACCCTTAAAAAAATGTATCAATAATTCTAAAGAGGTTTGCACTATTTTCAGTGCAGGAAATGCTATTTAAACCATCTCTTTCGTTTCCTTATGTAATCAAGTTAACTTTGTAGAAAATTACTGGAAACGTATGCTACTACCCTTCATTCCACGGTCTCGCGGCTGCCATTAAAGATTGTTTCAATAACCTTTGCGACAGGCTAGAAACAGAATGAAGCCCAAAAATAATAGAAACAAAATCAATGCTTGGCTAAAAGGTGAGTGAGTGAATGAGAGCCTATACCAAATCTTCTTCCGAGACTGCGGCTGTGAATTGCCACGACACCTTGCCCAAAAGGCTGTGCGGCTCAGTGACCAGATCCCCAGACCAGACCCAAACTCCAGACGCAGTTACGGAGGCCAGGTTCAGGTCTGCAGTTCTGCAGGTCTTAGGCCACAAATCGTGCAGGAAGCAAGTTTGAATGCAGCCAAAAGGTTTACACTGTCTTTTTTCCATCGGTCGCTGGTCGTTTGTCGCTCCACTGTCCGCTCGTCCGTCTGGTGTCTGGTCTGTCTGCCGTGTGTCCGCCCGTTTCTGGTCTCTCTGTCCGTTTCCCTCTGCTTCTGCCGCTTCTTCTGAAACCAGTTGCAGGTAGTTTAAAGTAAACTCCAAAGAGATCTTCGCTCGTCTTGGGATACCTTATAGCACATATTTCTTCTTGTTGCGAGAAGGCGACTCGACTGTCCATGTCCAACACACACATGTACATATAAATGTCTATATATCTATAATTCCTTTCTGTTACTTGACTCTTTGGGCCTGTGTATCTGTATCTTTCTATCTGTTGTGTGCTGGTGCATTGGGAGAAATGAAATTCGTAGAACTTTGCGCCTAGGATTAATTGGTTAAATATTGCTTGTTCTTGCTTTCTTATTTATTTCGAGTGCCATTTCTCGGAATCAAATTATAAATTGAGTAATCTAACATAAGGCATCGATTTCGAGGTTTTACGAGCATTAAAAGCACATCTTAAAAGGGTTCCAATGTGGCATTTCATTCATTCTGTGCTGTTCATTCAGGGAACGAAAGCAGGGAGTATTTCACGTTTTTAAGGGTATGATAATCCTCAAATTTGAAATTGGAATGGGTAAAGGTCTCAATCGAATGCCAAACTTCATGTTTGAGAACTTCTTTTAATCGAAACTTCAGAAACTCCCAATCGTAGTATTGCAACAAGAGAGAGACGTCTCAAACTTTTATAAGCCGCTTTTCTAACACCAAAAAGTTTTCCATTTTAACTTCGCCCCGTTGCCAAACTTCAGTCGAAAACAAGAGAACTACTTAACTACTCACGATTCACGCAACCTTTGTGGGCCTAACGCCCCTCCCTACCCAAACCTGCCGAAAGGAGGGCACTTCCTTCCGCATCTGCGGACCAAGCTTCACCTGCTTTTCGGTCTGTCTCCCACTGTCACTCCTCATTCCCAGCCCAAAAGGAACCATAAACACAAATAAAAGGCAAAAACCAAGCCCTAGGCGTAGGCCTCGTGGACAGCATTGCATTTCATCTGTGGAACAAGGTTTGAATTTTCGACATTTGGCACTTAAATTTAACGGTTGATTGCATTCCACTGTGGACCCAGCAGATCAGAGGGGAGTACAACCAGGTGATTACTACTATTCCTATTTCTCTATTCCCTTCCCTTTTCTATGACAGCGTCTTTCTGTGTGTGTTTTAATATTGTTCTGTTTAGCGAGTCTTTGGACGAGCGCATACCGTCCGTACGTTCATCGTTGATGATTGCTTCTCTCAATCCAACGTCAACGACTTCATTCTGCGGGTTCCTCCGGACTTTCGGACCAGGGAATTGGAACCAGCGGGGCTAAGCGGTAAGAGGGGCTGGCTGGCTTTTTCTTCTCGCTTCTCTTCCCTTCTTGCCTTTTTCTTGCGACTTGTTTTTGTTTTTCGCTTCTTTTGAGGGCTCGCTCCTCCACTTGTGGATCTTCTTTGTGCAAACACCTACCCCCTCCCAGCCACCTTCTGCACTCAAGGTGTGCTAGTTTTTTACTGGCTTCCCCTGCCCCCTTTCCCCCCACGTAGACATCCTCTTGTTAGGCCTCCGCCACTTTGCGTTCGTTTTGATTATATTTCCGGAAATGACGTTTTACACGTGAATGAAATTTTGAAAAAGCGGTGCAACGTTGCCAATTTTCACTTGAGACCAGAAATATTGCCGCTACATGTAACCTCAATTTAAGCAACAATTAATGTACAAATTTATTTAATCTCTGCACAAAAATGCAAATGAAAGCAAACGAACCCAAACAGGGAGGAGAGAAAAGAAGAGAAGAGATAGGACCAGAGTGGATAACGGATAAAGGAAGAAATGGAGAGACAGAGACAGACAGGGTACGAAATTTATGGAAAAATCCACCCTCAGGTACCGGCTCGACGACCAAAGCTGTAAAAATTGCACAAAATGCACAAAATGACGAAGGACATACAGGAGTACTACAGTACTGTTGATGTTTCTGTTGACATTGCCCCTGCACAAAACAGCAGCAACAACAACAAGGGAAAAACAATCAAAAGGGTTACAAAATCAAAGGAAGGCCAAAGCAGCAGCAGCAGAGAAGGTTACTGAACCCCGGAGACCCCCGGTAGTAGAAAACAATGAATCCCAAATTGAAGAGACACAAAGATCGTTCCTATGGCAGCGTATGAACAAATTAAAAAAACGTAATATAATGGAGTTTTAGAATCCACTTACCATACTACTCCGAATGCACCATAGCCGATGGGACGATCCGGCTGGACATCCTGCGGCACAGCTGGCGGCTGGTAATAGGGGGCCGCTGCGGCCAATATTGCGCTGGCGCCCTGTGGCGCACCACCGGCAGCACCACCCTGTACCAGTGACATCGAAACGCTCATTGATGGACTACGGCGGAGAGTGGTTTAAATAATTTGAGCAGCTGCACTCGCAGTGTCGCTGATTCTGATTCCGATTCTGGTTACGGTTGCTGTTGCCGTTGCTGGAGGCAGATGGAGCTCAGTGAAGTGTGGAGTGGTGTGTGCTGGCAGTGGCGAGTGGCGTTGCGGTGTCTAAGGTGGTGTCCGTAGTAATGGTGGTGGTGGCTGATGATTTGATGTAGGAGAAATGGTGTTGATTGCTTAATGGATGCCGCTGGGGGCCACGATGGCCGCCATTCAATTGTGAGCCATTTGTTTTTTTTTCCTTTCTTTCCTCGCTTTCCTTTTTTCTATCGCTGTTCACGTTTTCTTTGTCACACTTTTTCTGTATAGATTATTTATATGAGAGTTGAGGACATTTTGGCAACTGTAAAGAGGGCAGAGAGAGAAAGAGAGAAAAGAGACTTAGGGAATTGATAAGCAAGAAAGGAGGTATAGCCTACAGCTTCGAGATCCAAAGCTTACAAAATTTCCATCTGAGAAGAGGAAATTTGAAATTCCTTTAATTGGCTTTTCTTTTGTTTTGGATTTGGTTTTTGGTGGCAAAAACGGGAGAGAGCGAAAAAGTGCCTTTAGCTGCTTGCTGCCTGGCTGGGCTGCCGGGGCGCGTCCGTATATTACATTGTAAGTGTGTGTGCGCGTGAGTGAGTTTTTCGTGTGTTCTGGGTCTGCTCTGCCCTGCGCGTGTCTGCAAAAACGCGCTCAAAACGCGTAGAGTGAACTAGCCAAGGGGAGCCCTTCTCACATCCCCAATAATTTAAACATTTTATTTTAAATTTGAGCAAACATTAATTGAGAGTCTCTCTCATCTCCCGCACTTGACAGTTATGTGCTGCCGACGCCAGAAGACACACACACAAAATCACTCAATTAAGGCCAAGAAACAAAAGAAAAAGCTCAAGTAAAGTTCCCAGGCCTAAGGAAATAGTTTTTCTGGCTAATTAAACATTGTTTGGGATAGCTTCTCTTTTTGAATTACCTTAAAATATGCACATTTACTGCACGGCGACAGAGACGTCGACAGCGGTTTTTTGTTGATGCCGACTGCGGCGACTCTTCCGTGTGTGCGAGTGTGCGGCTAGGAAAGGGGCGCAGGTGGGGAAAGCACGCTGTGTGTGTGAGAGATTTGGCTATAACAAGGTAAAATAGAAGAGAGGCCTAACCGTAATTGGAAATTTTTGTTGTAATTATTGTTGCAGCAGGCGACACACACAAAAACGCGACGGTGACTATTGCAGCGCAGAGGCGGATACGAATACTATTTACTACGATTGCTGCGACTCACACTCACACACATTGGCACATGCATATATCTATATATATATTATATATATATACTCGTATATATGTAGTAGGCAAACAAACAATTGCCTGGGTCACGTTTCCCTGGCTCTTTTAATATTGCATTATCTTTGTTATCACACGAGGCGTGGAGCCGCTGTATTGTAGCATTTATTTTATTGCATTTTGTGTTTGCAGCGGCGCTCCAACTTTTTCCCGATCCCGTCTTTTTACCGTAGTTTAGTCAACAGATTTATTGTTGCAGATACAAATACCAGTGTGACCGCGGCTATAATTATGAAATATACCGCCTGACCCTCAAAAATATACCGTAATATACCTTGTCATTATGAAAATATACCGTAAATATACTGACGGGCAAGTTGATATTCCTCGATTTTGATATTCGGTTTAATATTACTAGATAGTTGGCCCTCTCAGCCGTAAACAAATAATTTTATCCGATAGATACATAAATTTTGTTCAGGATTGGTTAGTTTTTAGAACTCTTTTTCATTGGATTGTTTACATATTAAGGTTCAAACAAAAGCGGCCAAAGCATAAAACGTAAATGTTGACTAAATGTGACGTCAGTGTTGCTGGTCAACCAAGTATCTTCTATGCGTATGTACTTTTGTATACCTTATTTCTTTTAATTGGTGTTAAATGTTTTGTTCCAAGCTCCATTGAAACATTATTTATGATTTTATCCTAGATTGACATGTTTTTTACATGTTAATGCACATGTTTGTGTGTTATAAATACATTTATCCCGGTTCTGATACCTATTATTGGTAGTCGTGAGCTGAAAAACTTTGTTAAAATCTTTACAACAGAGACTGAGTAGTTTCTGCATTAATTGGAGCCTGAAATTACAAACAATATCTCAAGTCCATAATATCCATTTTCCCAAGGTATGCAGATTGTTGCTCATTCCGTATCAAAGTTGCACAGCAATGCTGCTAATTGATTTCCCCATGTTGCTGAATGGGAAAAATTTCAGCAGCATGATGCCACACCACGAAAATGAGGGGAAAGTCTCCACAAAAACACTCTATTCTCCACTGAAAAGAGAGCACTCTCCACGAATTGAGAGCGAAAAATGTCAGTATTTTTGGTGCGCTAAATTGAGTTTGGCGGTCCATTTGAAATGTGTCTTAATATTTGGAAAAATAAATATTGGATGGTTGACATAATAGAGTTCAAACAAAAACGGCCAAAGCATAAAACATAAGTGTGAACTCTGTTCACATTCCGTAATTATTAACTGGTTCCATACGTCCCAAATCTGCAATTGTTCAGTTCTCAAAGGAACTTTTTGAACCAGATCTTTCACTTAGTAATTTCTTATTTAAATTTGTTTAAATTTTTTCGATTTACTGAAATGGAGCCTCTACAGGAATATATCACCGACTTGGTGGTACCCCACCACCGCTGTAACGTGAACATCATACCCGATCACATCACCATGCTGGAGGGGGCTAAGAGTCGGAAGCAGCACTCGCGGAAGCGCCGCTCGCACAAATCCAGCACGCTGTCCCGCTGCAAGTACACCAGCCTGGGCCTCAACACGCTGCCCACCCGCCAGATGCGCTACGAGCAGGCCCTGCCCCTGCACCAGCTTTGGCGGAGCTATGTGCGCGAGCACCTGGGCCTGCGGGAGGGCGAGCAGGTGCCCGAGGTTCACGAGCCTCGCTACGAGGAGTTCAGCAAGCAGTTGATCAAGCTCGATATGCACGGCGCCAGGCTGCAGGTGATCCAGTCCAAGTGCAAAACGCTGGAGGGACTGGCCGGCATATGTGTGATGGACACGAAGAACGTGCTAAAGCTGCTGGGCGAGGACGATCGCCTGAGGAGCGTGCCCAAGAGCGAGTGCGTCTTTGGGCTGGCAGTGGGCAACATGTATTTCACCATCTTTGGCCAGCACCTGACCATCCGTCCGGCAGAGCGCAGCGTGAAGAAGATCAAGACCCACGTGCAGCCCTTCATGTAGCCCTTTAACCGAAACGTACCGAGAAACTTTAGTTTCCGTGTTTGTTTCCTTTTACTTTTAGTTGTATTATAATATAAAATCGTACGCTTAAAGTGTTGTGTTGGGGGGAATATCGCGCGGCGTTGATAGAGTTAGATATTTTAGTTGTTGCTGTCGCTGCGGTACGCTTCTTACGCAGTCGTCTTGGTCATGGTGATGACAGCGGAGGGCACTAGGCCGAGCACCTCCAGCGGCTTCTCGTAGTCCTCCTCGGCGAAGAGCTTGCGCGGAAATGTGGTCATCAGGGAGAAGGGTGTCTCGATGCCAGTCTTCACTTGGATGAACACGCGCACTGCCGACAGTTGCTCCTTCACGTTGAAGGTCTCAGTGAGGGTGGAGCCATCCTGCAGACGCACTTGGATGCGGGTCTCAGTGTAGTCACGAGGCGGCGACTTGACGCCGGTGGTGGGAGAGCTGACCGTGGTGGAGCTGACGGACGGAGCAGGCTCCGAGATGGGTATTTCTTTATTTTCTCTTTTGGGATAGACAAAGTGTTGGAATGTAATCTTCTCAAGAAGTAAGCAATGGAGAGCCCTACCTGGCCTTGCGGGCGGCCTTGTCGGCCTCAATTTGAGCACGAACCCGATCGCGGGCCACCTTCTCCTCCTCTTTTTCGCGCTTGCGCTGATCCACGATCTTCTTCATCTCGATCTCTTCCATGCGACGTTTGGCCTCTGTCATGTCTTTCCCCGATCGAATGCGATTCCTCTCGCGCTCTAGGGCATCCACCTTTTCGCGCTCCTCGCGCTCGATGCGCTTCTGCTTGAGCTTTTCTTCGATCACGGCCAGCTGGACCTTCTTCTCCTCCTCGGTGAGGGGCTTCTTCTCATCCGTCGACTCGGAGAAGTTGCTGTGTCCAGTCTTGGCAGCATGGTATTCGACTTCCGAATGATCTTTGAGCACTTTGCCGCAGTCGTCGCACTTTAACGACTTGGGCACCGTCGATTCGTCAGCGCCTCCGCCACTGCTGCTGGGTGCTGCGGCCGACTCGTCGCAACTGGCGGAGGGTGCTGCTGCTGTCCCTGCAGCTTCACGGACTCGTGCGGATGGAATCTCCTCGTCAATATGGGCCAGCAGCCACTCCATGGCCGGCTCCACACCCTTGCTGCCGGTCACCTGCAGAGCGTATTCCCTGAAAAAAAACCAGCAAGAAAAAAGAAAAATTGCAGGTTGCCGGCAAGACAGGAAAAACTGCACCACAGATGAAACTGCCACTCACACTCGCTCCCTGGGGAAGCCCATATCCACCAAGGTCTGGACGTCACTCATAGCGATCGGATTTGGATGCGTAAAGATCAATTGGGGATGAGGCGGATGCGTTCTTTATAAACTTTTTGACAATGACACACAAAAAAAAACAAAGCAGACTTGTGACTAGTGCTGGGAAGTATTGAACATATGTAGTAAAGATGCCAGAACATACATAGTTCGAATTTGACACTGTGCAGCACTGAACAACCCACCCCGATTGTTGCTGCACAAGCTGCATTTTATTTCAGAAAAATTTTCGTTCGCTGTGAAAAATGACGCCACCAAAGATAAAGAAGGTCGTGATTAAGATACCCCGGCATCCGTACTTCAATGTGCAGATGGACCAGGAAAACATGGTCGAGTACCAGCTCCGCAAGTGTCGCGTTAATTTGGAGCGTCTACGCGTAAAGCCGCTGACCACGACGGGATCGTTTGCTCTGCAGCTGAAGCCCAAGCGTTGCATTGTTCGTGTGGCACGTCTGCCAAATGTGGAGCGTAGCGAGATGTCCGTCACACCAGCCAGCTCCATAATCTCGGACTTCGGCGATGAGGGTGAGCATTATTTGCCATTTAATTGCGAAGCAATTGAAATTCCAAATGTATTATGTTTTCAGGCGCAGCCAACGAATAGAATAGAAATGGGGAGAGGACTAGACAAGCCCCCATAGAGGGAAATCACAGCATCTTATATAAGTCTACGCATAAGTCATGCATTTTTTTCAGTAGGAAACATAAAGCATCTTCTCGGAAATAAGGATATACAAATATTTTCAACTGACATCTGGTCATCTGGAAGGCAGACAGAAGAGATGAAACGATCCAGATCAGTCGGATCTTATCACAATGCATCATGTATAATCAAATAAAACTAAAGAAAATAGATTTCCAGCTGAGGGTCTGAGGCTATCAGTGGCGACCACCAGGGCTTCAAAATTATGTTTTCAGTTGTTTTAAGTCGTAACTAGCTAGTAGTCTTAAATCGAATATCAAAATCGGTATATTTTGAAAATCAAACGGTATATTTCGGTCTATTTCTGAGGGTCAGCAGTTAGCGCCGAGCGGAACCGATAACACATAGTCATCGTCAGCTGTCAGCAGTTTTCTGGAAAAACAAACCAGCCTAAATTTTCTGTAACACTTTTTCGGCAAAATACAGCGGCTCAAGAGAAGCAGCAACATGAACTGGCATTCGGGCAACATAGCGGAGGCCGTGGCGGAATCCAAATCCAAAAATGCCATCTTTGTCGTTTACATACAAGGTATTAGAAAAAATCCTGTTGCACACACTCTTATGTTATGTGTATGGTATGCCATATGCACCACGTCATTGCAGGAATCAATAATTAATTCGCACTCCCCCGCAGGTGAAAACGAGCTGTCCAGCAAGCTGGAGAGATTCGTGGACGATGAGCAAGTGCGCTCCCGTCTAGAGAGCTCGGACTTTGTGGCCATCAAGGTCCCAGGCGACAGTACAGCCTATGGACAGTTTATGTCCCTCTGTAAGTACAGATTTGGGTCAAATCCTCCACGGATCTCATACCATTGTTCCCCCAATCCCTTAGACAAAGTCGTCCCCATTCCTTCGATATTCTTTATTGGCAAATCGGGAACACCACTGGACGTGGCCACTGGCATCATTGCCAGCGCCGAGGAACTGGCAGCCAAAATCGACAAAGTCCTTGTCCTGGCAGGCAAAAGGGAGGAGAACCAGCTGCCCACCACAAGCAGTAGCTGCTCCTCGGCCACTCCAGGCATAAGTCCACGGCGCATTGCCGGAGCCGATGACAAAACAGATACAAAAACCGAGCAACCCGATCCTGATGAAGTGTCGAATACTACCAGTCTGGTCAACAAATCAACTGCTTCGACACCGGCACCAGACAGCAGTGCGACAGAAGCCCCAGATAAACTCAGCGTTTCGACTACAACTGCAGATAAAAATCCAGAGACCCCAGTTGCTGGATCCACAGACCCCACAGGAAACATCGAGAAGCCATCGACGACTTCTGCGCCTGTTGAGAAGTGTGAGCCCTCGATGTCAACGCCCGTTGAGACTTCGGCCACTGCAGAGATTCCCCCTTTAGAAGGAACCAGTTCGAGTCCCTCTCAGGCTGCTACATCTGCCGCCGCTGCGGCTGAGAAAAGAGCAGCAGTCGCCGCTGCAGCAGCGGCTGCCTCTCTTCCCACTCTGCTACCTTCTGGGCCGTTGTTGTCGGCAGTGGCTGAGCCGACACAGCGACACCTAACCGACTCTGAGATGCGTATGGTTGAGGTTCAGAACACTCTGGAGGAGAAGCGACGGGAGCGATTGGAGCAGGAGCAACGCCAACAGAAGGAGAGCGAGCTAAGGCGTCGTCGCGAGGGAAGGGAGGCCCAGGATCAGGCCCAGCAGGCGCTCACCAAGGAGCAGGAGCTTAAGAATATGCAGGTAAATGCAGAGAAACGCAATCTCTTGCATCTTTCAATTTACAATCCTTTTTTTTCTAAGGAACGCATTCGTCGCAATCGACAGGAGGAGCAGGAGACTCGCGACCGAATTCGCGCCCAAATCGCCGCCGATCGGGCGGAGCAGGCGCATCGCGTCCTCATTGCAGAGGACATCCACAGCACAGCGACCTCGATAGCTGCCGTCACTACCGACTCGTCCATTACCTCCGTGGATGAGACGCGTCTGCAGATCCGTCTGCCTGGTGGTATTCACCGCACTAAGTCCTTCCCAGCTGGCGCTCTGCTCGGCACCGTTCGCGTCTACGTGAGAAATGAGTTGTTGTCGGGGACCGATACGCGCGACTTCACTCTCGCCACAAGCTACCCCCGGCGGGAGTTCCGAACGGAGGATGAGGTGAAGACCCTGATGGAGCTGAATCTAGTGCCCAATGCGGTGGTGCTAGTGCTGACCAAGGAGCAGGTAAATCGCGTGGTGCGTACCGGTGGCTCTTTGATGACAATGCTCACCACGGTCTTGTGGGCCATGATTACGCCGGCAGCCAAGGCATTCGATTTTATCCACAAGAATGGATGGCGTCCGCTGTCGCAGAGGTTCACCGTGATGCTGGCCAACGTTCGCTGGCCGAATCGTGACGGTGGTGCCAATGTGGTTCTGGTCCAGGGAGATGCGTGAGTACTGAATCGTGTGATTGAGGGATTCATTTGTAACCAACCCTTTGCTCTCTGTCCTGCAGTGCCGTTCGCCGCAACATGGAAATGTTCTCGATGCGTTCCATTCCGGCGCCAGGTCTCAACCCGCAACCGCAGGCACCCGATACAGAGTCAACCACTCCGCCACCCTCGCCGATAACAGGAAAAGATGCTGCAGGACAGCAACCTGTGCAGACACCGCCGCCTGGACCCGAGGGACGTGCACAGCAGGCGCATGCTACGACCCAGGCCCAGGGTCAGAGCCAGGAGTTCCAGCAGCGTCCGGGGGGATACCAGCCACCGCGCTACGGGGATGCCAACATACGACGGCTGAACGATTCGAAGGACGACAAAGACAACAAAGCCACGTACAACGGCAACTCCACGCAGCAGCAATAAGCAATGGCAACAAGGAGGGACTCTATATATATCAACCTACTTTCATAACCTGTTAAACTAAATTAAAATACTTAACTAAATCCAAACAATATTCCAAATATTAATTCGATGTGTGTGTGTTTAATTAAACAAATGTCGTAGGGTTATTCTTACGAACTAGAATTGGGAAAGGGCTAATGATCCTGCAGAGATCTGGGTGTGGGGATGGGATGGGTAGATGTGAAACAAACTGTGAGGGTGCTGAAGGAATAGCCTGAGGTCTTGTCTTTGTTGGGCTTATAAAAGGAAAAGGTCCCTTAATTTGATGATTTGCCATATTTCCTTCTACACAAAAAAAAATACCACTCGGATTTAGGGACACGTCTGGACTCAGTGCATGCGGTGACCTCCTCCTCCGCGAGGGCATCGAATTAGGGGGCAGAGGAGTAGTGTAAGGTGTAGTGAAAAACTAAGAGGAGTTAACAAGTCCTCCTAAGGCGCTCCTTTTGTCTTCCCAAAGGGATTTCAATCCCAAAACTAAATCTATACAAAAATAAGATAATTTTTTTTCCCTTTCCACTTTCTCGTGTTCATTACAGGGTGAACCACATCAGAAACTGCAACAGCTTGTAGACATTCACCAGCGGGAACTTCCATTCCCGCTTGCGCTGGAGCGGCGGCACCAGACTTGGGTAGTGGACGAGGCTGCTGATGTGACAATTGGTGGTGACATTGCCACCCGGATACTTGATGGAGACGGCATCGCCCAGCTTGACTCCGTCGCAGTCGATCAGCTCGAGAGACTTGTTGAAGCAGATGCGAATTTCCGAGAGATAGCTAATCTCGTGCTTCGTGTCGAAGAGGCAGTGGATGGAGGGATTCTTTCCCAGCGCCTTTACGATGGCATTGTTGATGGCAGTGACCGTGTTGTTCGAGTCGGGATGGATGTCCGAGGCGTCCAGGATGCGCGACATGATGTACTGCTCCCGCCAGCTGAGCCCCTGCCCAAAGTACTTGAGCTCGTCGTCCAGCTCCTCGATGAGCATGGCGCAGGTGCCGTGCTTCTGCCACTCGTGCTTCCACAGCCACTCCTGCGACGTGGCCCCCTTCAAATCCGGCCAGAAGGTCTCCAGGCGATTGGAGATGCCATCCAGCTGGTCCACATCGAACTCTGCAGACTTGTTGCAGAACGAGGGCCCCAGCGAACCCAGCTTGGTGGGCCAAATGCCGTGTATAGTCCAGAACTCTTTTTTCTGCGGCAGCGTGCACTCTTGCAAGGGGTTGTCCTCGCGCCAGTGATAGCAGGTGGTCACCGGCCATTGCTGTGTGAATATCAACACATCCCATTTTTGGTCATGAACGCGCTGATGACGCTCCATCCCCCGCATCGGATCATCTACCAGTCTGGAGTCATCAAAGGGATACAAGGAGTCGTCAGCGTCGCTGTCGTTGTCAAGCAGGCTGCTTTGTGGCTGCTTTTCCACGGAGACCGAGGCTGATTCATCCGAATCCGATATGTCGTCGTGGGCACTGTAAATAAGTAATTGCAACGATTTTGCTTGGCGTAGCTAAATTTCTATGTTGCAGTCGCCAGGCGAAGGGGATTACTGGGTCAACCTTGAACTTGATTGTGGCCAAGTGGGCTTCCAGGTCTCTCTTCGCCCACGCAACCAAAAACAAACTCGAAGCTTCTTCCACTTTCTCCTCAGGACACAGGACTCACCTTAGGGGCGTGGGCTTTGTGACCACGAGACAGCAGCAGAGAAAAACTATCACAAAACCAATTTGCTGGCTCTGCATTTTCGTAATATGCAGTTTCTTTATAAATAAATACGTACCCGCAAATTAGAGTAGAGCTGGAAAAAACATCGATGTAACATCGATAGTATCGATGTTGCCCAAAAATGTTCAGCATCGATGTTTTTTCTGCAAACATCGACTATCGTCACTTACAACCGAAAGACAGAATTTTCTTACAACAATTAATCTATTCTACTTACTTTAATAGATAATAATTTGTGGTGTTGGCGTGGATCGTGGTTGCGCCATGGACAAGTTTGTAAAAAGTAAGTACAATAAAATACAGTTAATTTTGTACAATGTGCACACGTATGTATATCTGTATGCGAATAAATTTGTATACATGCATGTATATAAATTCTCACTTTTTCGCATACTTGTTTACATATGTATGTATTTAAATGTGTAAAAATTATCAAATTAACTATTTTAAACTAATTCCTTTAAAACAGTAACAGCAACTGTGTTGGACGACGTTGGAAATAACGAGGAGGACATCTATCTATTCCCAAGCGGACCAAAAAGGACCTCGCTAAAACCTAAAATAGTTAACATTTTACTGTCAATCAACAAAAACAGCTTCCTATCGATCTGAATTAAAAATTTAAGACGCAAAAAAATTGTTGTATTTTTTATGTCGATAATCGATTATAGTCGATGTCTTCGCTCTAAAACATCGAAAACATCGATGGTGGCAAACATCGATGTTTTTCCAACTCTACCGCACAATGGGTAAGTTGAACTTTTGATTGCGCCGCAAGGATAAGAGTAGGTGTGAAGTATGACGTCACAAAATTCAGAGCTTTCAAGAAAAATACCCACCTCACCACATAACTCACCGTGCGGGATTTTGTGCTTTCACGCAAACATGGTATATTTAGTCCGTCGGGGCAAGGGTGAGGTCCTTACGAGGCCCTTAAAAAAAGTTCGGCCGTTTTAATACTGGGGCCATACCTTGCCATGACCCAGTCGAAAGAGAGCACTCAAAGCGCTCTCCGGACTCATTTCTGCGTTTAAATTGTGAGCCACTATCGATAGTATCGACATTTTGATAGTTGATATTCCTTGATTTTGATATTCCGTTTAATATTACTAGCTAGTTGGCCCTCTCAACCCTAAACAAATAATCTTATCCGATAGATACATAAATTTTCTACACGATTGAAGTTTTCAGAAGTCCTTTTTATTGGATTATTTACATATTAAGGCTGAAACAAAAACAACATAAAACGAATGTGACGTCATTTTTGTGGCGTTGCCAGACTCGTGCAATTCGTAGTTGCTGCGGGCTGCTATTTACTTGATACCGATAATTTCATTTTTTTTTTGATACCGATAACTGCGTTTCATTATTTCATTGATAGTTTCATTATTTCATTGATAATTTCATTTTTTTTTCTTTGATACCGATAGCTGCGTTTCATTATTTCATTGATAGTTTCATTATAACATTGATAGTTTCATTTCTTTGATAACGATAACTTCGATAGCTATCCCAGTGTGAACAGAAACAAAATTATTCGGCGCACTTTCCAGCACTACAAGTCTCAGCGATTAAAAATATGCAACTGCGCGGTAATATTTAAATTTAAAATTTAAACAAATCAGACGATTGCATCTTGTTTGAGTTCTGCCAAGGCGTACTGCCAATAAAATCTATTAGGTTAACCACTTAAAGTTGGCTTTAGCCAATGAACCAGGAAAAAAAAAATTGTATCGCAAAAGTTGAAATTGTTTGAACTGATTGCACGCAGACGGCTTCGGATTTATGAAATACTTCGCCAGCTTGTCTGCTCTGTTCGGTTCTGTTTTCTATTTCTTTGTCTTGAAAATTCCCTTTGCAGGTTGATAAGAAACTCATAGCTTATTTACTCATCCAACTTTAATTAGTGACAACGATAATTACACATTGCGATACCTCAAAGTTCTTCTTGTTGCTTTTGCCGTGGCTGTTGTTGTTGCTATTGGTGGTGTCTTTTATCTTCGGGCATGGAAAATGACATGACATGGAGCCAAACACCAAACGACTTCTGTAGAAAAACCAATGACTACTGCTACTCGTACTCGTACTTGTACAGCAATAGGAACAGAACAACGAATCAATGACAAGTTCGACACAAGAATTGCTTAGCAATTGATTATTGCTTAACTGTACTTTGTACTTTTGATGATCCCCACAACACAATCTGGGAGAATGGGGAAAGGGTAGGGTGCGGCTGCAGCTATAGAGCAGCCTGCGGTAAGTGGGACAGCTGTCTGGATTCCAGCCTTATGGGGCAAAACTATCACACTTAATGATCCATGACTAGGTAGAGCTCTCAGAATGCCACTCTTTCTATTCAATCCTATGGTTAGAGGGTATTCATTCTACTAAACGATTCATCAACCAATTCGTCCCCATATTTGTCTAATTCAATTAGTTCGATTCGGGGCGATAAGACTCATTTACATGACGAACGCAGCACTTTTAATCTTTTGGCCCCCTCAACCGCATTAGCCAAACAAATACCCGCTCCTGTCTGGGATTTATCAACAAAATTTGTGATTATTTTCATGTCATGTTTTTGTAAGCCACATAGATCGGTAGAAAAGGCAGAGAGTGGGGATGTGTGTGGGCTTTTATGCTGATTTTGTGTGGGGACTTTTGTTTGATGACAAATTAATTTAATAATAACAGCTGCAAAAACATTTTGTAATCAATTTTTCTTGCCCGCACTTAGCAACAACAATTATCCTCGATGCACAATCCAATTAATGTTGTTTTTGCAGATAGTACTGAAATGATGCATTCGGATATTTGTGGATATATGGTTTTTGCTTTCATTCCACTTTCTTTTGGGTGAGAATATATTTTATAAATGGAACCCTCCCTCCAAGAAGTTATTTTGTCATCATTATCATCAGCGATAGAAGCATCGTGGGGCAGCTTCAACTTTCATCTTTCTGTTTTTGTGGGTATGTAAACGCCATTATGCTCTCTCTCTTTCTTCATCTTTCTTTCTTTATAACAGCGCCGGCGCAAGAGAAAGCCAGAAAGAGAGAGAGAGAGAAAAGCTCTGGTGGGTGGAGTCTCTTGGCTTATATATATAGAGCAAAGTCTGAGTGGAATTTCGGAGGGTAGCCGGAGTCCGGTAATTGCTTCAATTTGGCGTACATATCCGCATCCGTTTCGCCAGTCAAGTGGCTGACGAGCTTCCTCTTAACCCACCCCATTTTTCTGTTTCTCACTCCCAATTCCAATTCCACTTCTTTTACTTCTCTTTTTGGGATTCTTCCCTCCTTTTCCTTCCCCCCCTGCTTTGTTTTTGTGCAATTGCTGTGTAAATGGCATGAGAATGATAATTGTAGCAATTATAATATTAAATTGGGAGATCATGGCTCACAGGGTTTCCCTCCACAACCAACCCCCACCACCAAGCGCCCCGTTTTTATGTAGCATACTTTTTTTGCAGTCACTTCTCTCTCTCTCTCTCTGCCTGTCTGTCTGTCTCTGTGTCTCTTCAGTTACTCCCTGGAGGAAGGGCAGTGGAGAATCCAATGTGGGTTGAATTTTTTACTCTCGACTGCTGTGTATTTTTCCGGATTTGTTTGTTAATTAGAATTCTAGCGTTGAAATTAAAATTCTCACTCCAACGGGACTGCTGGGAAAACGAGATGGAGCGATGGAGAGGAGATGTTGGCGACGGAAAACTTCCGACTAGTTTTTCAGGGCGTTGGCTGTGTACAGCAGAAGCTGTATGGTTCTTCCCCTTTTTTGTTTTGTTTTATTTGTCTGCCTTTTCTCTTAATTACTGCAGTTTATTTTCTAAGTGAGACTAATTAACAGGCAATTCGTAGCATTGCGGCACATTTTACTCCTTTTTTTAAGGGTGGAGTTGAGAGTGAGGGAGTGGGGCTGAACTATCTCCGGTGTGTGGGTGTGTGTGTGAGAGTGGTCAACATTTTTGGATAGTTAGTTGGTTGTGATAGCATTGGACTTGAAATTCTTGTGCCGGCATTAAAAACTTTCACATATGCATGAATGTCGTCAATGTGTCATGCCGAAGTCCAAAGTTTTTTATGTGTCCAATTTTTTTGTCAGCTTTAACTTTCGTACGAGGATGAGTAGTCTGCCTGTTTTGAGTTCAGATTTGAATTTGAACTCAAATTTTAATTTAAAGATTGGTTGCCTATCAGTGTTGGATAGCACCTGTTGCTCGTGTTGCACCTGTATTACTTCTTAAGCGATTAAACATCTCGATTGTCAGGTTGTTGTAAATGATCATTAGAAATTATTAGCTTATGCCTGTCTTTTGTGGTAACTAGGCCATAAATCAAAGCATTGGTATGACTTTCATCATGTGTGGAGACGAAAAGCAAATAATAAGACACAACGACATATATATGTACCTTCCCCATTGCTGTCCAGCTTATTCACAGCCCCGCCAGCCCCACTTCGGTTAACTAGCCCACAAATTTACGTTATTAGTGCAACATTAGACGTTCGGCTAATTACCAACACTGTCTGAGGCGCAAAAAGCCCGCTTAACCTCCACCTCTAGAGCACTTCACAAGCACCACTTCTGTGATACCACCGCCAGCAACAGTCCACCACCATTTGAATGGCGCCAATTTCCTCCATCCCCACGCCATAAAACATGGCGCGCACACACACACATGCAGACTCCCACTCACACTTCCACTCACAGAGCAGAGCACAACCCTCGCACGTTAATGAACGTCAAATTCACTTAATTCCAACTTTAGCCATGAATTAGGCACGACAAATGGACGCTCACCGGGATCTGAGTGAAGTGGTGGGTGGTATGTTGGGGCTGTTGAGCAGCCAGCACCAGGGATAAATAAGCACAAAGACGTGCCACGAGACGGGATATTTTTTGCTTAAATGGGATCCAAGCAGAAAGGGACAGAAAGAGACACAGATCCAAACAATAAGTAAATGTGCTTTTATGGCTCTTAATTAAGGCAAAGATGGGGTGTTTTAATACGTTTGCCAAATGTTTAATGAAAAACTGCCAGAGCTGCCAGAGTAGAGAGAGAGAAATCCAAAAATACCCTGTATTGCTGGGGGAGTTATTGTGAACATGTTGTTTTTTGGGAGGGAGAAAGAGAGAGGGATTAGACAGAGAGAAAGAAAGTGCGAAAATTGGAGATAGAAGACAGAGAGGATGGACTGAAAGAACACTAAAACTGAAAAGGCTGCTACTCTTAGTAGGTGCTTAGAAAGGGGCTGTCAAAATGCTGTTTCGATTTAAATGTGATTTTTAATATTATGTTAAGCCCCTTTCTCGCAAAGGAAATACAGCTACCATACACATCCACTGGAAGAAGCAGCAGCCGTTAATGAAGCAGCTACTAAAAGCGGTTTTACTCTTCCACTCCCACTCTTTCCCTCTCTCTTTTTCTTTTTTATAATATCCCTATTTTCGTTTCGTTCGTTTCGTTGCTGCCTTCCCCGCCATTGACTAATTACTCTCTCTCAGCCGATAGATTTATGACGCCCAGTGTACACTTAGCATCCGTAATGAGCAATTTCAGATGACACCCTGTGCTCTTCACTCCACATGGGTCTTTCCCCTTAACGAGAAGTACGAAAGGAGGTTGTACTCCCGTAGGGGATCCTTTAGTCGGAATATCCTTTACCTTTTTACGAGGGAAGCCTCTTAAGTCGTACTGAATTTTTTTTTTGTAAATGTTTGTGTTTACAAGTTTATGGCTCTATTTTGGGCAGAGACCGAATGACCGAAAACTGCCTCAATTTGTGGTATATTTTATATGTGTGCAATGTATGTGTGTTTATATGTATCTACATACGTATGGACAGCATAAAAATCTTTATGGACGATTACGCGTATCTATATATGGTAAAAATCAAAGTAAAAATCCCTAAATGCGCCGTTTGCAATGCTGGCAAAAATAACATTTTCAACACTTTTTGGTTGATTAATCAAATGTTTTACAACCCGCCCCACGCATCCGTGGGATACAACGACTTTTATTGAGTCTATCTATTATTTTATTTCCCCTCTCCACCCCTCTCTCTATTGTTCTCTCTCCCTCTCTCTTTCTCTGTCTCTCTCTATCCCCTCTGTATCATTTAGTCCAAATTAGTATGCCACGCACGTTCTAGAGCATAAAAAAACAACACAGAAAGGGAAACAAAACAAAAGCAGCAGCAAAGCGGAAACGGAAAAAGGGAAGAGCAAAAAAATGGCGCAACCTTTGTTGTTGTTGCTTGTTGCCGTCTCTCTTTTTATGATTTATTTATATATTCAAAACAAATGCAATTGGGTTTATTACACATCAATAAGCCCTATCGACCATTCCGACCACCAAAGCACAAAATTTGTGGTGCCTGATCCGGACGAAACATTTGATAAAAAAAATGGATTTACATGGAGTCTACGAATATACATATATCTATAACAAGCACAAACGTGATCCAAATTATGGATGATTGGGGGATATGTTTAGAATATCAAACTTATTTATAGATTGGGAGATTAAAGACTACTAGTAAATGGAGCTGTGGGACCTGATGAACAGTTCCTATAATTTAAATAATGAAAAATAATTGAAGAATTGTAGAAAGCATGTCCATTTCATCCAAGTATTTCTTCGCAAATGTCAAGAATGTATTTGGATTTGTCAAGGGACCAAAGCAGTTGTCCAAACAAGCAAATCGCAGTCCCACACATCCCACTTAAGTATTCCCTTGTATGTGCTCCAGGGAGCAGCTCCTTCTTATTAGCTATGGAGGGGGTGGCGCGGCCATAAAGAAGAGTATCCTTCCAACCACAAAAATTCGAGGCGAGGCAAGGCGAAATGTGTGTAAGCAGGCAAATAGCACGCGTTGTCATATTTCAAGAAACAGAACAAGAAATACAAGAGAGGCACTTCGAAGGACTTGGAGATTATGATTTGTTTTGCTTTCCGCTTAACGAGCACATGATACAAAATACAATACAAGGACCCCACCAATCGTGCGCGTATACACCCCATAAGTATGCTAAGCATGTATCCTGCGAGTGTGTGTCCTTCCTTCTCCCCTCTGCCTCTTTTTTGTTGAGTAATTTTATCCTGACAGAAGACAAATTTTTACAGATTTGTTAGAATTTGTCAGCAGGGCATGGCTCGACCTCAAGCAGATGCCGAAGGATTGTTTGTCTTTTCTTTATATATTGCAAGAGTATTGTATGAGTGTGTGTATGCAAATAAACATTTGCACTTTAAAAATATCTGAAGATGTTTATGGGGCCCCAGAAGGAATCGAATCGCTGACATCATGTAAGCAAATTGCGTAAGAAGGAGGCTCTGACATTGATTTGACATGAGCCCTCTGAACCCTCCGAACCCTCTGAGCCGTCTGATCCCCCGAAACCATAACAAATTGGTTTGTTTTTCCTTCAGCCTCAATCAACCCTCGAAACAGTGTTTTCTTAACCCTTTTGTTCCTCTCAAATGAGAGTAAATTGATATGACAAATCAGTAGCGTAGGAGCATAGAAGCAAAGGTTTAATGAAGTGAAAAATTGCCAAATAACCAAAAATTAAATAAAACATTGTCCAGGCATCCTGGCTATATATCCTCTATATACATACATATATTCATGCCTATTGTTTTTGGTTTTTAGGTCCTTCTTCCCATCTCCTTCTACAAGAACCAAAGAATTGGGTAAACAAAAATTGAACAAATTTCCAGTTCAGTGGCTTTGTGGCCATTTGGCCATTTATAAAAGTAGTATCCGTAAAAAATGGGCGTGGCACCACTGCCCACAGCCCCACTGTCCCCAGAGCGAAGGCAATTTGTATTTATTTGTTGGATTTCATGCTGAAATTG